GTAGAGAGAGAGAGAGAGAGAGAGGGAGAGAGATAGAGAGAGAGGGAGAGAGAAGAGAAGGAGAGGGAGAGAGCTAGAGAGAGAGAGAGGGAGTGAAGAGAGAGGGAGAATGATAGAGGGAAGAAGAGATAGAGGAGATAGAGAGAGAGGGAGAGAGATAGAGAGAGAGAGAGAGAGAGAGAGATAGAGAGAGAAGAGGAGAGAGAGAGATAGAGAGAGATAGAGAGAGAGAGAGAGAAGAGAGAGAGAGAATCAGAGAGAATGGAAGAGAAAGAGAGAAAGAAATCAAGAGAGAAAGAAAGAGAAAGAGAGATAAGCAAACAAACAGACACACACTTAAAACCCTCCCGACTCGCCCTGGCAGACAGCAACCTCCCCCCCCCCCACCCCCCACCCCTCATCCCTCACCTCCCGGAGCCGCGTCCCCCGTGGGTGAGCCAAGAGTGAAGGAAGAAGGAGGGAAAAAAGTGTAAAGTGTAAAAAAAAAAAAAAAAAAAAGGTATAACAAGAGACGATACGGATAAAAAAAGACACGTAGATGACGACGATGACACAGGACGAGGGAGACAACAAGGAAGGTGCAAGCGGAGGGCTGTCGGAATGATTTGCATCGTCATTTGCAAGCTTTCCGGGGTGGGGGGGGGGGGGTGTTAATGAGGGGCTCCCAAGGTGTCAGAGAGAGAGCTGATCCGCGCTTGTTAGCATACATCTCTGGCTTAAATTGTTCGTTTAATGGCTTGAAATTACGGCAATTTTGTTATCAAGCGCACAGCTACCGTCAGACGCAATCCCAAAGAACACAATGCAGTCACCGATAGGCACACTAATATGCATAAGCAAATATACACTTAAATGCGCGCGAACCTCAGGAAATAAGCGTATATATGCACCGAGAATATATAAAGGTGAGAGTTCATGGCTTGTTCTAAATCTATATATATAAATCTTTTCATCTTAATAAACAAGTAAATAAAGAGATAGGTATATATACATACATATCCATACATATATATATATATATATATATATATATATATATATATATATATATATATATATATATATATGTATATATATATATATATATATATATATATATATATATATATATATATATGTGTGTTGTGTGGTGTGTGTGTGTGTGTGGTGTGTGTGTGTGTGTGTGTGTGTGTGTGTTGTGTGTGTGTGTGTGTGTGTGTGCAAATGTATATTATATACAAGTAAGTACATATATATACATACATACATACTATATATAAATATATATATATATATATATATATATATATATATATATATATATATATATACATATATGCGTGCATACATACACACATACATACGTGTGTGTGTGTGTGTGTGTGTGTGTCAGCGCGTGTGTGCGTGCGTGTATAACCTTCACTTCTTGCAAAACGGCCTCTTGTGGCCACGCCATCAGTACCCATCCACGGAAACGTCTCCAAAAGGACGGCCCTTTCGAAACCCTTTTTCCCCCTGTCCATCAGCCCCCCCCCCCCTTTCCTCCCCGCCCCGCCCGCCCCCCCCCTTGACCGACCCCCACCCGCCCGCTCACACCCCTAGTTAGCACCTCAGCAGGATGCAAAGTGTTGGTTGTCACTCCTACGCTATCACTCTTCACACTCCGGCCCTTGGCGTCTGCTCCCCCCCCCCCTTTGCCCTGCTCCGCCCCGAGAGCCTTACCCGGTGGTGCCCTGGGAGACCCTGGGAGACCCTGGGAAAGCGTGTATTCTCAATGCCCGCTTTTCCCCCATTCGTCCCGCGGAAACAATGAACAAACGGTGAAAAAAGAGTTTTTTTTTCCTCGTGTTTCCCTAATCTTGTCACTTAGCGGGATTGACAGGTTAAGTGGCCTCGTGATGGACGCGGCACGCCAGGCCCCGAGACTCCCCTGGCCAGGACGCGGGTCTATAAAAGCTCCCACGGAGGTCAGACGCAGGGCCAGCGGAGTGGGACAACCCCCTTGGGACTACCCGACGGAAGGGCGAGAATCCCACCGATCCGGCGACCGCTTCGGGCTGGAGACGAGCCGAGGGTCAGCATTTGCATGGGCGTCGGGTCGCAGGAATTCATTATCTGCGATGCGCCTCCACTACGCCTCATCTCCGGACACTTGTACTCGGCTAGCTTCATATTTCACCCGGGACGCCCCTGCCGCCCCTGCCGCCCCTGCCGCCGCTCGAGTCCGCGACTGGACCTCGCCTTCGCGCCGGGCATCGGGGCAGGGGAGTCCGGGCAGAGTGCGTGGTTTGGGCGCCCGATGACTGGGACGAGACGCCAAGGAGAAAGGACAGTTGCACCTTAGCACAGAACAAAAATCATTGACAGCTGAAATATTTGAATTTACAGTGAATAACATATGTTAAGTCCGTAAATAATCTTCAAATGGCAAGGCTTCGAAATAAACTGAACCTGTATTGTTATTTTACACTGTAGCGCAATGAACGTGTTCAATGAGATAATCCCCGTACCCGCCAACCATGCATCCAAACGATAATAAAATAAAATAATAATAATAAACAAAATTAATATTAAAATAAGAATAAAATAAAACAAAACAAAACAAATTAAATAAAATCAAAAACAAAAAAAACAAAATAAAATAAACAAATAAAATAAAATAAAATAAAACAAAAAAGAACAATAAAATAAAATAAAACAAAAATGAACAGAATAAAATAAAACAAAACAAAACAAATAAAAATAAAATAGAAACAATAACATAAAATAAAAAAAACAAACAAACAAACAAAAACCGCATAAAAAACACGATGCTCAACAAAATCCAAAGCCAACCCACCCACACCATGCAACATCACCTC